CCCCAGGACAGGGATGTCCCTCCTGGCTGCCAGGGCACTGCTGACTCAGGGACAACTGGCACCACCAGGACCCCCAGGGCCCTTTCCTGGCACTGCTTTCCAGCCTCTCATTCCCAGTCCATCCATGCAGGGTTGCCCCATCCCAGGGGCAGAATTCCTGCACTTCCCCATGTTGAACTTCCCATGGTTGGTGATTCCCAGCCCTGGGATCTGTCCAGGTCTCTCTGCAGGCCCTCCCTGCCCTCGGGGGACTCAGCAGCTCCTCCCAGTTCTGGGTCACCTGCACCCGTGCTCCGTGTCCCTTCCAGAGCTGTGTCCCAGTCGTCTATGATGCTGTCAATGTTCAGGTGTGTCCTTATGAACACCCATCAATAACTAAAAGCAGATTAATAGCAGTGGCAGTTGGTTAACACACGTGCATTAATAATTTATTAGTTATTAATATGGACTTTGGTACCCTCTGAGAGGTGGTTCAGCATTGTTTATTATGGGGTTTGTGAGGTTGAGGGGCTGAAGGGCTGCAAATCCCAGCAGAGCACTGGGGGGGAAGGTCTGCTGGAATCCTGGGGCTTCCCAGGCTGGAGCAGGTCTGGAGAGCACAAAGGCACGAATCCTGCTCGTGGTGCAGGTGGTCCTGCCATTTCCAGAGGTTTGCCCCCTGATTTTGTCTTTTCTTATTGAAGCCCATGAGGGAGAAAAGAGAGAAAAAACCAAATGAGCCACAAAAGTCCCTTTTTTTTAGTTTTTTTTTTTTTTGCTCACAAATACATTTCACATGCTCGTTACATATAAAACTGGGCCAGGTCTGCACTGCCCAAACCTGCCTTTGCTCCCTCTGTGAGGGTCTGTGCCCCACTCCCTCCCCACACACCCACCCCCCAGGTAAAAAATCCCATCCAGACACCAAACGGGGGGGGGGGGGTGCTGGTGGGACCCCGGTGGGACCCCAGTAGGACACGGCATGCACGGCTCGGGGAGCCGGGGGCACCGGGCATGCGGGGGCTGCCGGGGAGGGAGGGATGGATGGGGAGAGATGGGCACCATCCCCACCCTGTTGGGGCTGGATCCTGGCAGTGCCACGGAGGTGGGAGCAGCCCGGGGAGCCCCTCAGGGAGGAGGGCTGGGGGCTGCCCCCTCCCCCCTCGGGGCTGGGGGGCACCCAGGGTGTGGGGGACGTTCTGAGCAGCCACTTGTGCCCCACAAAGCAAAGCCCCTCGGGTGCTCCTGTCCCTGGTGCATCCCCCGGGGTGCCCATGAGGAGATGGGCAGGTGCCTCCTCCAGCTCCCAGCCTGACCATTCCCGGCTGGAGAAGGGACATCCAGGTGGGGGACGTGCCTGCAGGAATGGGGACAGAGGTGGGACCTGCAGCAACAAACCCCTGGGGTGCACATGGGAGGAGACAGAGGAGGAGGAGGAGACAGAGGAGGAGGAGGAGAAGGAGAAGGAGGAGGAGGAGGAGGAGAAGGAGAAAGAGGAAGAGGAGGAAGCCATGGGCTCCCTGGATCGTCCAGGCCACATCCAGGCTCTTCCCTTCCAGCTGGGCCAGCTCCACTCCTTCTCCCACCTGAAAACTTGTGCCCAGAGGCAAAGCCAGGGCAAAGCCTGGGTAGGGTGGGATGGGAAGGCAGGACCCACCCCCGGGCAGGCCCGGGGACATCGCCCTGCTGCTTCCAGCACCGGAGGGTTCAGGATCCACATGGACACGAGGGAGGTGCCAGCCAGGACGTTCTCCCTGAACTGCTTGTTCCCAGCCTTTCCCTGCTTTTCTTTCCCAGGCCGAAGGGCCTCCCTGCACAGGTCCTGCTCTCCCATGGATTTCAACTTTGCAACCCAAAGAAAACAGATCCAAAAGTGTCTTTTTGCAGGAATCTCAACCCTTTCACCCCACCACTCCTACAGTGGCTTGGGTGGATTCAAACACATCACCCTGGGGCTGCTCCTCCTGATTTTAATGATCTTGGCCTCATTTTGCCTTTTTTGTCCCTTTTTTCCTGCTGACACCTCCTGAGAGCCTGGCCCTGGGTGGGTTATTATTGCTTGTGCAGGAGCATCCCCAGACTCCTGCGTTGGCAGACGCTGCATCTTAAACCGACAGATGGGAAACTCTCAAGGCACAGCTGTGCCCGGTGGGTCTGTCCTTGCCAAGGGGCTGGAAGAGACACCCTGGCTTGGCACAACCTCCCCGGAGTCCCCAGTCCCACATCGCCCCGGAAGACTTTTCTCTTGGAAATTCATTAAAAAAAAATAAATCATTGGACCAAAAACCCCACCAACACCAAGAAAAGAACCATAAACAACCACCAGGAAAGTTTTCTGAAGAGTCTCTTAAAAAAAAAGGGAGAGGGGGAAAAAAACCAGGAAGTGTTTTTTTTTCCCAGGCCCAAACACTGCTGATCTTTTGGCTCGAGAAATGCATAGTTGGTAGCAAAAATTCCAGCTACATTGGGAGCCCCTGGAGCTGGGATGGCCCCTGAGCTGAGGGCTCACCGAGGGCCCCGCAGGGCTGGGACACGGGGGTCATCCCTCCCCGACCCTGAGGTCCACCCAATTCCGCCCCTGCTGGCCTGTGGCACCTCTGGTGTGTCTCCAGCCCCGTCCCACCGCCAGTCCCGGGATGTCAGCGGTGCTCCCACACCCCTCCCGGCCCTGTCCCGCCGCGGCCGCGCCCAGGGCCAGGCAGCAGACAACGCTTCTCTTCCGGGAGAGCCTCAGATCATCTTCATGTTGAACTTCCTGGCCCCTCCCTGGCCCGTGGTGGTGGTGGGCCCGTCCACTTTGCGGAAGGAATACTCCACGGAGAAGTTGTTCTTGTGCTGCCCCCGGCCGCGGCTCCACACGAAGAGCAGGAGGAAGCAGAAGAGCACCACGCCCAGGAAGGTGATGCAGCCCATGGCCGTGGAGACCAGGATGGTCTTGAGGTCCAAGGTAAACTTCAAGAAGACCTGGGTGTCGTTGTGGAAGGTGTCGTTGAAGTCGCTGAGGTACAGGGTGCGGTTGGCGCGGTGGGCGCCGTCGGCCGGGCGCCCCTTCACCGTCAGCGTGGCGAAGTAGGTGTCGTTGCCGCCGGCGTTGCTGGCGATGCAGATGTAGGTGCCGCTGTCCTGCACCTGGGCGAAGCGGATCTCCAGGGTGCCCCCGGGCAGCACCGTGGCCCTGCCCGTGCTGCGGGTGGTGATCATGCGGTGCTGGGGGGACACCCAGGCGATGGAGGGGTCGGGCTCCCCGTCCGCCCGGCACAGGAAGGACACGGACTGGCCCTCCCGCGCCGTCACGTGCTGCAGCTTCCGATCCCGGATCTTGGGCTTCTGGCAGGTGAAGTACTCGAAGAGCACTGAGTCCGGGAAGTCCCGCAGGGCGTTGCCCTGGATCTCGGGCGGGGAGGAGCACATGGGCTGCTGCCCGTCGAAGTTGAGCGTCTTGCGCCGCTGCAGGACCCAGAGGAGGCGGCAGTCGCAGGCCAGGGGGTTCCTGTCCACCCGCAGCGTCTCCAGCGTGTTGACCGAGTGGAAGGTGCTCTCCTCCAGCGTGGACAGGAAGTTGCTGGAGAGGTTGAGCAGCCGGATCTGTCTCAGGCCGGAGAAAGCCTGCGGCTCCACGGACACCAGGAGGGCACCCACGATGTGGAGCTCCTGGAGCCGGATGAGGTCCTTAAAGGAGCCCTTCAGCACAGTGCTAATGGGGTTGTAGGACAGGTTGAGGTACCGCAGGTACACCAGGTTCCTCAAGGCGGCGGCGGGCACGGCTGTGATGTTGGTGTAGGTGATGGAGAGCGAGGTGAGGTTCAGTCCCTGGAAGCTGGTGGGGGAGACCTCTTCCAGCAGTGGCCAGTTGTCGATCTCCAGCTGCAGGAGGTTGTAGAGCTTCTTGAAGTTCTGGTCCTCCAGCGCAGAGATGCTGAGGTGGCGGAGCCGCAGCACCTCCAGGTTCTGGAGGTAGGAGAGCGACTCGGCCGAGATGGAGGTCAGGTTGCACTTCTCGATGGTCAGCTGCTCCAGGCCCAGCAGCCCCGAGAAGGCACGCTGGGAGATGTACACCAGGTCGTTGTCACCCACCTCCAGGCTCTTCAGGTTCCGCAGGTCCTGGAACATGTAGTCCAGCAAGATGACAAGCTTGTTCTCGCTGATGTCCAGGAGGGTGAGGTTGGTCAGCTTGGTGAAGACCCCGGGGGGGATGAGCTTGAGCTGGTTCCCCCGCAGCCGCAGGGTCTGCAGGTTGAACAGGTTGCTGAAGGCTCCGGGCTCCACATTGGAGATGATGTTCTCACTGAAATCCAGCTCCTCCAGCAGCGGGTACGGGGACAGGTCCCCGGGGTTGAGGCAGCGGATGCGGTTCTTGTTGAGCTCCAGGATCCTGGTCTCGGTGGGGATGCCCTCGGGGATGGAGGTGAGGCGCTTGCGGTGGCACACCACGGATTTGAGGTGTGGGGCGCACTCACAGCGGGCGGGGCAGGATCCCACCCACGGGGGGCTCAGCAGGACCACGTGCAGGGCCAGGACTGGGAGCCAACATGTCATTGTGTGGAGCATCTCTAGGGGCTCACTACCATCCGCCTGGGAGCCTGCCAGGGGAGACACGTGGAGTCAGTGCAGGCTAAGAGTCCTACGGTCCCAGGTCCCCCATGTGGTCCTCAAACCATGACCCATGGGCTGATAAGGTCCCAATTTCCCCAGGAAACCCTCCAGATCCTTTTCTCAGCACCCAGTGTGTGACTCGGTGATCATGCCCTGTGCAAACCTGGGGTAAATGAGCCTCACTGTGCACACCCTCTCAGGAGAACAGGGAAACGGAGGCAGGGGAGAGGTTTGCCAGAGGAGCCACAGCTGCAGACCCACAGCTCGGCCTCTGCCCCCGGCTCGCCCCGCTCTGTTCCCCTGATGGGGCACACACAGGCACAGGGGACTGTGAGCACCCCGGGGTGATGGGGGGACAGACCCTCGGGGCAGTGCAGGAGCAAAGAGCACCCCGGGACAGCACAGACCCCCCGGGCAGTGCAGGATCAAAGAGATGCCGGCAGAGGCCTTGCAAACTCGTGACACGGGTGGGATGCCCCATCCCCTCCTCTCATCCAGCGGCACAAATCCAAGCCCCCTCTCTCCCTCCTAAGCCCAGCACCAGCCACCTTCGGACAGGCCTTTTCGGAAGCCCCAAATCCCAGCCCCGGGCTCTGCGCGGTCCCGCAGGACCGGGGACGTTTGGTGTCGCACGTAGGGACTGGCCCTTGTCCCCACACCCCTTTCCCCCTCGGGGGGATTAAGGCGGCCGCGGGCACAATCTTTGCGCCGAGGGATTAACGCCGCGGTGCCCCCGCTGCCCCCCTTTCCAGGGATTAGCACTTGGCCGCCGCTTTCCCTTTTCTTTGCTTCCCCTTTCCCACCCCGTGTCCCCTCCCGTGCCCCAAATCTGCCGGGCTGCCTGGAAAGGCATCTCCCAGTGCCGCCGCGAACACCTCAGCCGCCTCTCCTTAACAAAACACGGTCATTAACCTAATTAAGTGGCAGAGCTGCTCGGTCGGGGCACCGTGGGGTGTTTTTGGGTCTGGCAAGGGAACATTGGGGTACCTCCAGCCACCCCCATAGAGGTGCAGTGAGTGGGGTATTGACTCCCCCCCAGTATGGGGGGCTTTGTCCCATCACTCCCACAGCACTGGGACAAACTGGTGTGCAGCCCCCCGGGGCAGCCAGGCTGGGTCCAGCCCTTCAGGGAGGCCCAAGCTGTGGCTCTGGGGAGCACTAGACCAAGCCCAAGCCTCCCTCACATGCTCCCTTCTGTCCCTCTGGGCACATGAGGGCCCCCAAATGTGTCCATCACTCAGCAGGACGTGGGGAGGATGTGACATCTGTGGCTGCTCAAGGCCATCGTGGTGTGGCTGCATGTTCAAATCCATCTTGGTGCCTCTGCATGTCCTCATTGCCCAAAAGCATTGCCCAAGGCACTTGGGAACAACCTTGGGGAGCTGAGGAGGATTATTGATCCTCTCTGTGCTCGCAGAGGAAGTATGCAATCTCCAAGAATGATTTCCTGCCCTGATCCCATTACCCAAGCAGAGCAATTTCTGGCAATAAACCCATTCCCTGGTGCAATTTTGGAACCCGGGAGATTATCTTTTATGGACATGGGGGGCTGAGGGACAAGTGGTGGCCTTGGCAGTGCTGGGATAACAGTTGAACTCGATGATCTCAGAGGGATCTCCCACCCTCAGCGATTCTATTCTATCATTCTATGACTCTTTTTCTTTGGTGCACGTCTTAATTTTGCCACACTTCCCTTTTTCTTCCAACGAACTCAAACCAACAGAGAAGTGTCACCGTTTCACACAACCACAGGGAGGGGATTTAACAGCACTGGCTTCCCTTGCTGGGGACAGTGGGGTGGGACTGGAGACCCCCCTGCTGCCCCTGCCCCTCCTTCCCCTCTCCCCAGCACTGCTCAGATTCACTCCTTGCACTCAACCCCCCCATCCAACTGGGGGTCCCCAAATGCCCCCTGGGGATGTGGCTGGAGCTGCTTGGCAACCTCTGCCTTCCAGTGCCAGGAGCCACTTTGTGCTGGTTGGTGGCCCCAGGAACCTGAGCTGGCTCTGGGTCCTCCTGGTTCTCAAGGCTCTGCTCCTGCTCTGTCACAGGTGGGTAGGATGTGACCAAGAACGACCGGCAAACCCACAGGGAAAAACCTCCCCGGTTTATTGGGACACTTCTTTGTTCTACTGAAATAAATAAACGTGCCCAGGTGCCTCTGCCAGGCTGAGGGTCTCCCCCACTGTGCCCCCCATCACTCCCTGCCAGGGGCTGGGGGTTTCTGCCCTTCCCCTCCCTGCCCGAGGCAGCCGAGCACAGCCC